TGCAGAAAGAAAATAAAATATCAATGCTGGGATGAACTTTATCTTTAATGGTGAGCCCTGACAAACTTTTCCTTCCTTCCTTTCTTCTGGCCAGCTTTTTCTCACAGCAACAAGGTAGGAAGTAACACACTCTACTTGGAAGTCCACTGTGATATAAGTCTTCTGGGAAGAGGGCTCATATTTTCCTATATACTCACTGTCGCTTTGACTGCTTATCTAGCTGTGAAACCACAGGGCGGTCTCCTCTTACAGGCAAGGCCCCTTCCTGTTCTCTCAAGAGTGTAACACTGATTAGTAACCTTGTCAGATCATAGCAAGGCACTGAGTGACTTCCATTCATCCTGGATGGTGCACCAGTGGCAGGTCAAAGGAATAGTTCTACCCAACCATAGACTTTGAACAAATAAAATTAGTTGGGATTCCTTATAGGAGCATGGGTAACTGATGGACAGCTATACCACTGGAGAAGAGTCTCCTTCCTCTCCCCCAGAACTTATTAATGGCTGCTACAGCCTTCGGGAGGGGAGAAGTCTTGATATACCACGTCCTCCTGAGAGGTGTACTGGGTGACAGAACATATCACTTTATGAGTTGTGTGAGCACCTCCCCATCTTACACAAGGAAGTGTTAATGGGTTCAGTCTTGTAAAAGCCTCTTGTTTATTCACAGCTGCTCTGACTTTTGAGATTCAGACTGAAGGTTTCTTCAAGCATTCATGTCTTTCTCCTAGAAGAATTACAAGTAGACACAATTGTAGCACGAATCTTAAATGGTCTTATTAATAAAATTAAACCTGGAGCCAGGTATTGGGGTGAATGCTGGAAGATCAGAGAAGCAGAAAAAGCCACAGCCACCTCACCTTGCCAATTCCTCAGCTGATCCTGTTTCCTCAGATTGGAAACTTCTGAGTCCTCACCCAAATGGATCTCAGCTGAACTGTTGCTCAAAAGCCTCAAAGATTAACCAGCTCTAGTTCCTGATCCTCATGCCTTAAATACCTTTCTGCTTCCTGCCATCCCTTCCTGGGATTAAAGGCTCTTGTTACCATGCCTGGCTGTTTCCAGTGTGGCTGTGAACTCACAGAGATCCAGGCAGATCTGTGCCTCTGGAATGCTAGGATTAAAGGAGTGTGTGCCACCATTTTCTGGCCTCTATATCTAGTGGTTGTTCTGTTCACTGACCCCAGATAAGTTCATTAGGGTGCACAATATTTTGGGGAACATAATATCACCACACACAATCAAACTTGGTACAGTACATTTCATACCCAGACATGTGAGCAGAGACTTGTAGTGGATAGAATCGCTTGACTGTAGTCCAGGATTTCATGTTTTAGTCTTCATTCTTCAATGCAATACATAATTGGCCACACAATTTCTTAAAGAATTGTATTAAAGTGATCCCCCAAAAGAGTAGTACCTCCCCTGTGTTAGTGACTCTGGCTTTTGTTCTGATTGCTTTGTGTCATAAACTATCATTTTTTATGAGTCATTTTTGAGTCATTTTGAGTCATTTCTTATAGTGGAATCTTCCAGGTTATGTTTCAATGCCATCATTCTAAACTGCTAATGGCTTTACAGATTCCTGTGAGAACAGAATTATTTAAAAACAAAACAAAAATCAACAAGTACCTTCTGTTTTATGTGCAGGAAGAGTCAAGACTATCAGTTGAGCAAAGATTAGGATCTTTTAGCATTCAACAGTTCAAAGTGGTGGTGAACAAGTCTACAAACGCAGAAAATTTTTTGTTTACCAATACAGTTGATGGGCGTGGGCACAGGAAAAGTTGCCCAAGTCAATAGTAATCTAAGTTCCTGGATTTTTGTTCTGTACTCTTTCTGTCTTGGGGGGCTTTGTTTTTTAAAAAGGAGAGGTATAGTTGATTAACAAGGTATATTCTGGACAGTATTAAGGTATTGCTGATTAGGGAAGGCTTTGTGACTCTCATTGGTACTGATTTGTACAGCATTTTAGCAGAGTTTGTGGTCCTAAGAGTCAACACACTTGATTTGTTCAGGCTGAGCAACCTCTTTCACAATATATCTTCATTGTCTGAACTTCAGGCACAGCTGAAAGAATCTGTGTGATATGTGCTATGTTTACTGGAAAATATAATTTGGTTCTTTGTAACATGTCATAGTTAAGTAGAAGAGAATACACTCATTGTCTGAATGAAAACATGAATATGAATGAAAATTCTTTAATATGAAATTAGAAACTTTCATTGTTGTTGACCTTTAAGCCCTTAATTTAAATCAGGACAAGCTACCATGAAGGCTAGGAAAGCCATCATGAGAGAGCTTAGACTTGGTATACAGGACATGATACTTTATTACATTTTACTAGCTGTGGATTGAATTTGCATAAGAAATGTTAAGTCTGCAATAGCATCAATATACATGTTGAGTGTTCCCCTTCCTCCAAAATTCATTTTAAAAATCAACATTTTCCCCTGAGGGAATGAAGTGATACTGAGATGATCTATAATCCTGTGAAAATAGTCTGGGAAAGTTCTTTTGCAGAAGGATAGATATCAAGATGATGAATATGATAATGAAGCTCCTAAGTCCACGGAGACTGTTGAATACAGCCAGAGTCAGGATGGACAGCACCTCCTTGTGATCACCAACACTTATGGTGGCTGCTTCCTCTGATATTCAAGAAGTAAATTGCGCCCGGCATCCCACAACACTTGGCCAATAATAATCACTACACTCCTAAGTTTGGAAAATCTAGGGGAGTGAAAATGGAGAGAACAGAAGGAGAGACTAACACGATTTTTTTTTTCATTATCTATCATTTACAATTTATATTATTGGTTACTCTTGTAGTAACTGAAATTTTATGACACACATTTTCATATCTTTTTTTTCTAAATGTTTATTGAAGTGTGTGTGTGTGTTTGTGTTTGATATGTGTGCCTGTCAATAGCATGGCATTCATGTGGAGGTCAGAGAACAATTTTGTGGAACCAGTTCTCTCTTCTTTTTCAGGACTTCCAGGGATCAAGGTAAGGTATGGGCAGAATGCACCTTCACCTCTAAGCTGGCTCATCCACCCTTGATATATCTTATCATTGGATTTTATTTGCCTCCAAACTGCATGAATGCTTAAGTGTAGCAAGCTATTTGACATTCTCTATAATAGCTGAACTGCTGATATTAAAATTGACGAAAGAGATATACTCAAAGTACATTACATGCTTATATGAAAATGTCTTTAGGATGCTCTGTAGCAAGTACAATGGATATATACAAATTCAAAAATGTTAAAATGTTGAAGATTTTCATACTGTTTTTCATTTGCATTCTAAAAAACGATGTTTATTGCTTTAAAAAGGAGAAATCCAACCATTTAGAATAAAAATAAATAAATAAAACTGCAATATTTCTGCAGATGGAAAATAACAGGCTTCCTTCCAGCCTACCTAGATTTTCAGTCAACTTGCTCTTTCCTTACACGGTTACAGCATCTGCATAGCAAAGATGGCTGATAATGCATACCATCCAGTTTTCCTTCCATCTCTCTTGGCAAACACCTACACAGTCCTTTCTGATCTCCTGTAGTTAGGTTAGGGATGTATAACCCAGTGTTAGGGCATAAAATAGTAGATATGGTAAATATTACATCCAGACTTACTTCCATATAAACATCTCACATATAGTCGACTAATTTCTTCCTCTCTCTCATAGTAATTCTAGGAAACTGCTTAGAATTGCCCATGATAAATGATATAACTTTCTTAACTCTTCTTAAAAGATGGGCTGTGAGTCACCAGACTGAAGCTCATCAGGGTGAGTGCCTTGTTTGGGATTCCATTTGGGAAACAGTGCAAGTAAAACTTGTGTCTCTGAAGGCCTGCTTGGTGCAGATTCCCCACTGTTCCTCCCCTTCCACTGATATTGCTGGAGTGTTAGACAAGCAAGCAATGGCATTGTAATGTGTTTAGTTCTGAGATTTCAGGCTTTATTTGTTACTGCAAGCCTAGCTTAATCTAAATCACAAAGTCTGACACAGCTCTGGGGAGGTAAGAAGTAACAGTTGCCAAACTGACTCGCAGAAGGAATGTTACTGCAAATATCTGTCAGGTCTGAAAGTCTTGGATTGTACTCAGCTTGGTTTCCATAACCCAACAGTGAGTTGCTGAAGCGGATGTGAATGCGTTTTTAGGCACCCTCTATATGGAAGGAAGCACTCATTGGGTTTAGCTGAACAGTCTTGTGACTCACACTCTGTATTTTGAGAAGAGTGAAGAAAACTATCATTTATCATGGGCACTTCTAGCATAACCACCATGATCAAATTCTCTGACAACCTCCTCAGCAACTCCAAGTCCAAGCTGTGGTTGGAAAATGGCCAAATGGTAAGTATCAGGCTGCTTTGGGCCAGGCCTGTCTGTGACACCTGCTCTACAGTCAAATGGACCACCCGCAGCAGTAGAACCCCAGGCTGGGAAAGGAATCCTACAGTGTAGCAGTGTTGCAGTGTCCACATAAAAGGGGGACCCCTTTGCTTCTTTACTTGAATGAGGCCGTTATAGGACAGATTTATCTCTTCCTTCACAGCCTATGTGAAAACCCTGATCATCTTTTGACAAAGGAAAATGTGTGCATTGCTGATACAGAAGTTTAGAGACGAAAATGAGCTCATGGTTTGGTTGTCTCTATTGGTCACAGGCTTAGAGAGCTCAAAATATCCTTGTTTAGTGTTCAGTGCTAGAGAAACAGGAAAGAGTGGATTTTTAGTCTTAGCTAGTAACCCTTTGTTGTTTTGTTATCTGCTTCTAAAAAATGCTTCTATCCAGATTATGACTTTAATTTTCTTCAAAATATACCCATTTTCTCTAGTTATAAGTTGACCATTCTCACCACAATGCTAGTTAAAGAATCCATCAGTAAGAGGCAATCATTGACCCCTAATAAATGATCTGTTATGGTGGGTCTGTGGCTACTCACAAGATGCAAGTTGAGCTAATAAAATGTTTCCACCGATTTTCAAAGCTAACCTAAGAAGAAAGATCTTTTTCTCATCAAGAAGATGTGAGAATCCACACTGACACACGCACTTGCACAAGTGTGCGCACACACACAATAGGTAAGTAGAAAATCTATAACATTTCCATTTTCTTATGGCTACAGTTATTTCACTGCTTTCTAAGCACTCATCATGCACTTTGCCTTTTGTAGTTTTTATGTTCAAATGTCTTGCCTGTTTTTATTGCTTTTTCATCACGGCCAGCTATCAAGGATATTCTAAATTTGACTTTATTTTTGAGAAGTCTTATGTTTTGCAAAATTAAAAATACAACTGAGGTTATTCCCAAATACTCCCTGTCCCCCATACACAGTGCTTTTCTCACTAGCAGCCACCACTGCCCAGGTGGAGCATTTACAGCTACAGAATCTATATTGCTGTTTCAGTGCCCATCCATAGTTTACGTTGTAGGTACTGCATGCTCCATGGTTTGGGTAAACTTATTCAATGTGTTTATTATTCCAAAATTGAGAGCAGTCTCACTCCCCTGTGGTTATCTTGTGTTCTGCCTACTGATCACTCCCTTTTCTGAGGCCCTGAAGCCATCTGTATTTTTCTGCCTCCATTGATTTGCCCTTCTTACAATGTCATTGAGGAGAAATAATAATAATGATAATGATAATAATGATAATAATAATGTAATAATAATAAATATTCTTTTTAATTGTATGCCTTCATGTAGTCATATGCATTTATGTTTCTTCAGTGACCTTTCATGGACTGATAGGTCACTTTCTTGTGGCACTGAGTAATATTTCACTGTCTGTATGTTCCAGACAGATACTGTTCACCCACAGAGGGACACCTGAGTTGCCTCTAAAATTTGGCAGTTACGATAAAGCTGCAAAACATCTGCCTACAGAATTTTATATTGACCTGCTTTCAAGTCATTTGAATAAGTACTGAGGAATGTGACTGCTGAATCAGAGCACAAGTGTCTTGTAATTTTGTAATATGTTGCCAAATTACCTTCCAATTTGGCTGCATGATCTTGTGTTCCCACTGACAATGAATGGCAGTTACCATTGCTCCACATCCTCACTAATATTTGACATCATCAGGGCTCAGATTTTTTCCATTCTAGGATATATTTGATATCTCTTTTTACTTGACATTTTCAAATGGCAGGTATTGCTGAGCATCGTCCACACACTTTGTCATCTGTATACCTTCATTGGGGTTTATTAACATCTTTAACTGCTTTTAAATTGGATATTTGTTTTGTTAATATTCAGTGGTAAGTGTTCTTTGAGTTTTTGGTATAGCTTTTTCTGTGTATTGGCCTTGCATTGTCTGTGGCGATTTCTCTCTTAACTGTTATTATTTTTTTCTCCACATATCTGGTAGGAGACACTTACAAAACCATGTGGGTCTGAGGACAGTTGAGGGAAAAGTATTTAATTGCAGCTTTATTTTGCTTAAGGCAAAATTATTCAGGCCCCTATGTCATTGTGGTGAGGTTCAGCAGTTTTCAAATTTTTGAAGATTGATCCACTTCATGTAAATTTTCAAATTTATGACTATAGATTTCTTTGTGGTATTCATGTATTATCCATTAGGGGTCTCACATGTCCATATTGGTATCCATCATTTATTCCAGATATCACTAGTTTCTATCTTCTCTTTAATTTTCTTTGTAACTTCATTTTCTTTATAAACTCTTAAAAATATCTTATTAGTGCCAGATCATCAAACATATTCTTTGCAAATTTAAATATAGAATACTATTTATTTATTTATTTGGATTGGATTTGCATGTAGTCCCAGCAAGTCTCAAACTTGCCAAGGCAGGCCTAGAACACCTGATTCTCCTCTTCTACATCTCAAATATTGGGATTATAGAACTGTGCCACCATGTCTGCTGAGAAAAATACTAACATTTAATGTATATTCTCTCTCTATTTTACTCCTTCATTCTTGGTCATCTAAGTTACTTTTAGTATAATTTCTCCTCTGAGCAAATCCTTCAGTAGTTCATTTTAACTGGTCATAATAACATTGTAATGTGGTGATATTTTGTTGTACTCTAATAGAATTTGCCTGAATATCAGGACAGAGCTAGCTACAGATTTAGCCACAGAGGCTGGGAGATGGTGGCACACACACCTTTAATCTTCACACTTGGGAGACAGAGATCCATCTGGATCTCTGTGAGTTCAAGGCCACCCTGGGCTACATGAGCTTGATCCAGTCTAGGAGAGAAACAGGTGGCGGCACACAACTTTAACCCCAGTATTTGGGAAGCACATACGCCATTAGTCCCAGCACTAGGAAGGTTGAGATGGGAAGTGAAATGGCTGGGTGCAGAAAAGCATATAAGGCATGAGGAGACAGGAACTAGAGGCTTTTTGGCTGAGGACTCAGAGGATTCATGGAGTTGGCAAGGTAAGAAGTGGCTGTGACTTGTTCCTTTGTCTCTCTGATCTTTCAGCATTTACCCCAATATCTGGCAGCAGGTTTTTATTATAAGGCATAATAATAATAAATAAAAATAATAAATAATTTTATTATTTAGATTTCGTGTTATATCATACCTTCTTTGTTTTCTTTCATCTGAATGTGTCTTAATTTCAGCTACTAGACAATTTTGCTGGATATGTTTTACAATTTTAGTTCTTTTCTTCAGTTTTTTCCACTTCCTCTGGGTTCCCTGAGACTCTCCTGGGTTCCTTATGCTGAGAAATTGCAGATTATATTTTGGCTGTGATACACACAATGCAAAGTTCTGAGATCTGTTTGAATGAAAAGAATGTTGAAGTTTTTGGTGTTAGCAGGCTGGCCTGTTTCTGTCAGCTCTCCAGTGTGTACACGCTTTCTGAGGACTGTTACTCCTTTCTCAGTTTCTTTATCAAAGCCTTTGTAGTTCTGCTCAGACTCCTCACATCTGCTCCATTTGGAGGCCAGTCTAGAATTTGGCAGTCAGTTTCAGTCTTCGATATCGTGCTTAGGTTGACATCCATTCACATACAGCTGCGAGGAAGTTGCGGAAGCTCCATGGTGTGTTTGAGCTATTGTGCCAAGCCCCGGCCTCACTGTGTTCATGGCAGTTTCTGCACTGCATGCCTGGACTCCCCTACCCATTGGTCTTGGACAAAGCTAGGATATTAGTTACCTTGATTGTTTGCATTCTGTCTATATCTCAAGACATCAAAGCATTCAAAAGAATGATTATAAGTATGTTCAAACAACTCAAAGATGACAAAAACGAAGATAGGAATAAAATAAGGAAGAAAACACAAGATATGAAAGCAGAATTCAATAACTGGAATTACTGAGGAAAAGCCAAGTTGAAATGATGCTGGAAATAAAAAAGCTGGTAAGCCAAATAAAAACTGTGTTGACAAATGGATCATATGGAACACAGACTATCAGGGTTGGAAGACAAGATAGAGGAAATGGATCATTTGTTCAGCAAAAGTCAATGGTAAACTTATATTAAAAAAATTCATGAGCCAAATATGGGGTTTGAGACCCATGAAAATACTTAAAATTTGGATTATGGACATTGCAGGAGAATTTCATATCAAAGTCATTGAACATATTTTGAACAAAATTACAAGAAAAAAAAATCCCACACCTGGAGAAGAAGATACCCATGCAAGTACAAGACCCTGCCAGAACTCCAAGTAGATAGGACCAGAAAATAAATTCATTATGACTATTTTTTTCCATTAAAACACTAAAAACACAGAATAAGAAAAGAGTACTAGTATCTGGAAGAAGTTCAAGTCACTTTCAAAGGCAGCTCTCTCTCTCTCTCTCTCTCTCTCTCTCTCTCTCTCTCTCTCTCTCTGTGTGTGTGTGTGTGTGTGTGTGTCTGCACACGCGCGTGTTGTCAGTACTGGGAATTGAACCTGGGACCTTGGGTATGCTAGGTAAATACTTTACCATGGAGCTAATACACATTTCATTTATTCTGCTCAGAACCTCACTCCATGAGATAGCGACACCCAAATTCCTGGTCAGTCTTCCTTCTTTAGTGAAACCTCTCTCAGAAAACAATCATAGACATACCAAGAGATTTGAGTTCCAGATAATTATAAATCTCATCACACTGACCATCAAGATCATTCATCACAGATAGTATCTGAAACCTATAGCAGAGATTTCCCTACTTTCTTATAACTTGCAACAATTAATCAGGCTTCTCTAAAGGAACATAACCAACAGAATGAGTATGTGTGTGTGTGTGTGTGTGTGTGTGTGTGTGTGTGTGTGTGTGTGTGCACGCATATTCCAACTAATAAAACAATGGCCGTCTCCCAAAGAAACACCAAGAATCTAATAATTAGTAGTTGTTCACTCCATGAGACTGTTTCAGCATTTGCAATCTTGTGCTGGTGTCCTTGGGAATTCCTGGAGACCTGCTGGTCTTCATCCTACTGTGGATTCCTGAAGAAGTAGGCACTTTAGCAACAAGATGAATTAACTTGCCAATGATCTTGAGGATAAGCAGGCAAAGAGTTAAAGCTTCCTTCCTACATGTCCTTTTAGAGGCTACCAGTAGAAGATGTGGCCTGGATTTAGGATGGGTTTCTCACCTGAAATGATCCAATCAAAAGAATCCCTCAAAGACATGCCCAGCTGCTTGAATTTTAGTTGATTCCAGACATAGTCAAATTGACAACCAAGATTAGCCATCAAACTTGCCTATCTGCAAATTTGGCAAATGCATTGCATTGTGCCCTATTCTGAGACTAAAAGTTCTTGTAATCTATTCTATGATGGAAAGTGTCACCTGGGACAGTATGACAATGTTCCTGGGCCATGGTCACTCATATTTAGCTCTAAACAAACTATTTCTTATCCTCTTCAGATCATGAGCTCTTTTGATAACATCAATCAGATACCACAGGCAATAAATGGAATTCAAGGAAATGGACCTCATGGAAATGCCATATTTGAAATTGTGAGTATGATATAGGTTTTACTGTCACATGACCAAATAAAAATGAGTTTTGCTAAAAAGAGGAGTCATCTGGTGATTCAGCCCTGCGGAAATTCATTATAAGATAAAGGAGCCAGAAGAGTAGTAAAGAAGTGGATACTAAATGAATTAGAAGGAGAGAAAATAAACATGTTATGTAAACCGAATGAAATCGTACTTCATAATGGAGGGAATGACCCCCTTATGGAATGCACAGATAGCCAGAATAAGATGAGAAAAATAAATATGAGCCTTAACTTGGGTTAACATGTTGGAAGTTGTTCCAATCTCTTTTATCAGACCTGTGGAAACAACAGTCTAGCTTTAATGACTTCCAGACTGGGAAAACAGGAGACAAAATGGCAGCAACAAAAGAGTTGTTTTTTTGTTTTTGTTTTTTGTTTTTTCTGTAGAGGAAAGCAGGGAAGGGAACAGAAGTTGAAGAGTGGTATACAATTAAAATTTTCTTTCCTGCTTCCTTTCAGATGGAGCCTCTCTTTGTAGTCCAGATCGGCCATGGACTCACAATCCTCTTCTTTAGCTTCATGAGTGCTGGATTCAGGTGTATGCCATCTTGCCCAGCTCTGTGTCTTGTTTGAAGGGAGATATTACAGCATGTTTGTACGATGATGTAGAAACTTGATGAAAGGGAAAATTAGAAGATGCTTACTCTAGTGATATCTATTAATGGAAGATTTCTTCCTAAAGAAAATTGTGTCATCCTGGTTGCAACAAGATAAGGTACAATGAATCAGGTACATTCAGGTTGTTTGGTAAATATTATGTTGGCACTATCCAGAATTTGATATTCTCAATAATTTGGGAGATAGATCCCTGAAATGAGACTGGGGTGGCCAGAGGAACTATCAGAGGTTTACAGTGACTGAAAAAACGGCAAGGAGTCATTACCATATTTAGTTATTGAGATGCAAGATTGAGTAGTTTAATTAAGATTGGGTTTCTGCCAAGTGGGCACAATGAAGGGAGTAGGCAAGGTACTTAAATGGTAACTGTATACAGGGGAGTGATTGTCATGATGATCCATAAATAACAACTAATTAAGGGTGGAAGTGAATACCTAAAGGGAAGAGCACGTGTGTGAGCACGCGCATGTGCACACACACACACACACACACACACACACACACACACACACACACACACACACGGTAAGACAACTAACTAGCCTTAGCTCCCAGTGAGAGTGAAGGTGTGTTTGTGCTTGAGTACTGTCATTGGAAGTTGAGGAACAAGAGTGGCCCTCAGAGTAGCTGCAATGAGGCAGAGCACTGGAGTATGTTTCTTTGAATTGAGAGGACAGAAGGAATGCTGTAGGATACATGGGGAAGGTAGGAAAAAGAACAATGGGAGAGAGATGTGGGAGCTAATATCTATGTTCCCTCACATCGTTCTTCATGAGCCATCTTTTCACTGAGTCCTTCTCTGACTACTTTTCTCACATTTCAAACTTCTGCCTTTCCTCCCCACCCCCCACACACCCAGAATCCACACAGTGCATATTGACATTCATGGGATAGGTTTGTTCTTTTCATATTCATAGCACCTATTCTCTGAAGCAGTATGTTTTAGTTCTGTGGATTTACTATGTTTTCTATTTAAATGCTATTGTTTTTGCTTCTGTTGTATAGCATCTGCTGTTTGATGCAACTTAGGTACTGGACTGTGATGATACAATTTTATTAAAATAGTCCTTACATTCTGAAAGACTGGAACCTCTACTGGGCCTCACAGCCAAGTTAATAATACATTTTGTGGCCACTTAAGACTTAGTCCAGTAGCTTGCTGTGTACTCAGCTTGCTTGTTGAACATGCCTTTACAAGAACAAGGTAATAAGCGACCTTACTTGGTTTCCCCATGTAATGCACAGCTATACTCTTAAGTCATATATTCTGCTGTGCCTATGAACTAGACAGCAACGCATGTGTGTATGTGTGTTGTGGTAACCATTTACTGATAAACAGCAAACAGGTCAAAAGTGACTTATACAATAATTATCTGTCATAAATGTTGGAAGTATTGCCTAATAAATGGTATGTTTAGAGTATTGAGTGCTTTGGAATCAGTTGTGGTCAGTAAGAGTAAATAACTTAATCCTTTTTAAAACTCTGCTAAAGATTGGTGCAAAGGGTCCCTTATTCCTTCCCCATGTAATGCATCTTGTGCTGTTTAATAAAAACAGAGCTATGCCCTTTGCTAGGGATAGATTCACAATATAGACACAAGCATCGGGACAGATTGGACACACACAGTAGACAGACTATGGACAAGCCAGCTCTCACACACTACAGATGTATGGAAGACACACAGAGGGAAGTGGGGGGTTGGCACTTGTGCTTTCTTTTGGTCAAATTAATCCAAGTAGTGCCAACTTTTCTTTCCATAATGTGACACTGATGCTTTTTTCTGAGTTTATCTTTAATGTATTTAACTGACACACTAGACTTTATTTTGTTACTGACAGTAGACATTATTTTCTAACTGGATGTAAGAGTGGGTGGGTGGAAATATCATCTTTATTCATTTAAAAATAACCAAGAATCTTTCAGCTGAAATATGAAATAAAGTGGTGGCAATTCATGAACTAAAATCTTGTTAAAATGGAAGAAAACGGGCTAAGAACCTGCACAGACAACAGCAGGGATACAAGAAAGTTTATTTATTTTTTGATCCTTGAAGCCAAGGGTTTCAAGGAGGTATGGAAGAGTAATCAGACTGACTGTCCAGACAAGGGACATACTCTATGGTCACGATGAGGAAAGCTGGGAGACAGTGCTGTGATGAAAAGGTTTGGGGAGATAGCTGGCGGTCAGCTAGAATTAGAGAATAAAAAAAAATGATTCAGGCAGGTGCATACCACAAAGAGGGAATATTCTGGAAGTCAGAGCCTTGTCTGAGAAGAGGCAAACCATGAACTGCTGATTTCTATTTAGCTGCAGAAACTTGCCAAATCTTCTCCCAAGGATCATCTTCTTTCTTGAGTCCTTAGCATCCACTGACTCTTGAAACAAGCCCAACACACACTCAGCATATTGTCAGTACCACGAATGTGCTCCTCTCCCACTCAGCTCTAAGTGTGCCATCCTCCCAGTTGCTCCTCATGGAGGAGTTCCAAGTTCTAAGTTTTCATGAACACTGGGATGGGCAACCTATTGCTTTACTAACTCCTTACCCTTTATTCTTCTTCCTAATATTTGCTTTCTTTAGCAAGTATTTATTGACAAAATATTACAATCACTCCCTTCACTGCACTTACACTGTACAAACACCCTTGACGACCCCTTCTCGCCACTCTGGATCTGTGCTCAGATCTACACAACATGGGGAAAGTCTCAACAAAGGACCACTTGGTGTTCTCCTACCACTGTCCAACTTGGAGCATCTAATTCCCTTATTTTGTTGTAGTTTGCATAGCTTTTAAAATCTTCTAAAAACCTAAATAACATACCTATTTAATACCTTGTTTGTTTTACACACACCTCATATCTCACACAGATGACAAGCTCTATGACTAAGAGGTCTTCACTGTTTGAAACCTTAGTCCTGGAAGCTTACCTGCAGTAGTACTTTTTCATTAGGACTGACAGCCTACAAATAACAATGCAGAGACTTATTATTAGGTATGAATGCTCAGACTTATCTTATAGCTTGTCCAACTTGCTCTTATAACTTAATGTAACCTATTTCTCTTCATCTACATTTTGCCTTGGGTTTTTTATCTTTCTTTCATCCTTCATGTTCTACTTTCACTGCTTCCTTGACAGACACTGTGTCTGCCTGTCTGGCAGCTGCTTGGCTGGCTGGCCCTGGGTGTCTCCCTATCTTCCTCCCTCATTCTCTCAAGCCCATATTCATACTTATTCTCTATGCCTGACAGCCTGTCTATCCCTCTACTGCCTAGCTATTGGCCATTCAGCTTTTTATTAGACCAATCAGGTGCCTTAGGCAAGCAAAGCAACACATCTTTACACCATTAAACAAATGCAGCATAAACAAATATCACATCTTTACTTAGTTAAAATAATATTACACAACTTTGTATAATAAGAACAATTATTAGGTAAGAATTATATTCACAATGTGCAGTCCATTTATATTTGGCAAAATTTGGAGAAATTACTCTATTATCTATCCTTTTGAGTGAATCCAAAGTTTTATACCTAAACTACTTTCTACCATAAGTTGTATCACAAACCTAAAAATACCTTTTTAGACCTTAAAAATCTTCTTAGATAAACAACTTAAGCTTTTATGTTTCTCAACCTTATAAACTTTGCACTTCTTATATAAGTTTCTTTTCTGAATTTGGTAACAAGGAAAACTGTTAAACTATAACTATCTGTTCTTCAACCCCATTAGAGACTCAAGAAGGATATAATATTACCTGAGTAAACAGGAAGTGCAACACAAACAACTTCCAAAACTATAGGAATGACAAAAACAGTTGGCTGGCTGGACAATTGTCCAAGGTTCCTCTGAATCATTGGGTCATCCATCGTTGGCCTACAGGGAATTTTGAAGGACTGGCTTACCTTGTCTTGGTTTAGTTCAGCAGTCCTTCTTTTGTGTCCTGCTTGTCCAATTTGCAACAGCATACTGTCAGCAGTCAAGGCAAGGGCAGTTTTTTTCCTAAATGGCTAGCTTTGCCACAGTGAAAGCAAACTACATATGGATGTTCTTCAATGCTCATCATCCTTTTTAAAAGTAAATTGGTACTGTAAGGAGCAGACTTTTTCACTGTCATAAATAGCCTTATGTTATTAAAACATTTTAGATGCTGTGTTCTGTAGGTCTCTGAAGGGTTTGAAGACCATCTACCTATCTAAACTTTATCTGTTTGACCTTGAAAACATGCCTAACATGACTACAAGTTTGATTGTTATAGATGACTAACTACTGACCTACATTTCTTAATTATCCTAAATAGTTTGTAATAATAGCCTTTAAGATCTAGAACTTTTATACTACATTTTAAAATGAACTGCATAGTTATAATACCTTAAATAAGAGTAGAAACGTATATAAAGTATATTAAAACAAAAAGAACCTTAAATTTGGATCAATATACAAAAGTATCTTAAATAAGAGTGGAAACACATATACAGTATTACAAAAATAACCTTAAATTTGTATCAATATATAAAAATCCATAACAATATAAAATATGTGAGGCTAGTAGTTTTTTTTATTTTAATAGTTGATTCAATAATCTACCCTTTAATACTATCATTCTTATAGCTCCACTCTTTTTTTTTCCAGAACAAAATTCCTGAATCCAATCTCCTTTGCTTAGTTTCCTCTCTGACCATGACCAATGGCAACTTGTAACCAATTCCCCTAAATGATGACAAACATCAACCAAATGGCTGAAAACCACCCATCCCACCTCTTGGGATGTGGGTGTCATGTTGTTAAAATTACTTCCTGCTATTTGGGGTTGATGGCATTTTTAGGGGACCCTGAGAAAAACTGAGAATGATCAAGTCCTGGGAAAGCTAGCTGTTGTCTATTCTTGGTATGATGGGAAAGTGCAGGGCTTATCTGAAGTCCTGACTCGAGTAGTCTAGGAGGCTGAAATTGGTGCCTATTATGAACAAAATTTCTCTATTTTTATCTTATTTTTGTAAGACTGTGACTGTCTTCTATTCTACTATTGTAGAAGAATTTAATATCATGAAATATTTTGACTTCTGCAAAACACCTTGGCAAGTAAAACACTCGGTAATTAATTCATAGGTCAGAGTACCCTGGTCATTAAAACTATGGTCATAGGATTTAAATCCATGTCATCTGAGTTGTCTGGTCTTCTTTATATTTATATTCAGATCAGGAAGCCGATAAAATAGGTTTTGTATGAACATTAGGTCTATATAATACTGCTATGAAGTCTATTGATTAGGTGCTAGGAAGTTAAATAAAACACAAAAGTTATATATTTGGCTAACATCAGTGTGGATCAAGAGCAAGGTTTAGCCTACAAGACAAAATTGACCATTGTCTAGAAGTATAAATCACAAATCCTAGACTTTTTTATTGTGTTTGTATCTTTCTATATGTTAGAAAATATTCTGAAAAAGGAATATATATTTCACCTTCTTTACATTTTCCTTAATACTTACTCTTTGTGAAGATGGGAGGTCTATTGTCATTTTAAAACTTTTCACTTTGTTTTTCTTTAAGGTGTTCTACATCTTGCAGGATATGATGGATCTCTACAGAGGTGCCCAGGTCCTCAAAATGCACAATTAGAAGCACAGGGAAATGAATTTTGGTGAACCTCTTACCCATCTCCCCTTTACATGCAGAGAAAGCATACCCGGATGGCCTTTGTTCACTCTCCCATTCTTCATCAGAACTGCTCATTTATTTTAGGCCTACAAATATCAAGGGGTTAACCTTAAGGGTCCTGAAATGGACACTATTTTTTCCATCCCTTTGTATTTACTCATAAAATGTGTAGACATTTATTACAGCATCTCATTAAGAAGTGAATTACATCTTATAAGAAGTAATGTATGTACAACAGTTTCAAAACTGTTTTTGAGATTTAGATTTTCTTGAAAAAATAGTTTTAGCTTTCCTCCCATACATAGATATATGTCATAGCCATGTATCAATTATAGCTTTAATAGAATAGCATTTCTGTGCTGTGATCCTGCTTTCTTTTCTCCTCTGCATCCCCTTGCAAAGTTGTACAATATTCCCTTCCATGCTTTAAACTGGCAAACAACACTGCTCATCTCACAGAATTAAAACCTTTCCAGATGTGGATTTGATTAATAGAAGCTTACTAACTGTGGCTAATTACTGATAATGATAGTATCACAAGGCAACTTCCTCATCAATGTCACCTTGGTCTTTTCTGGTTGCTAGGATAGAAAGAAACTCTACTTGCCACCCTCCTCCACTCCAAGTGAAAACAGGAAAGATTTTCAACTTTGCTTTGAATGGTAGCTAATAGAGGTTCTATAAAAAGCAGCCACTCTGAAGAAGAAGAAGACAGTTGCCATTTAGAGTTATATGAGAACTTCAGCCCTGTACACCCTGGTTTCACAGTGAGGATAGATGAGTCACACAGAGATAACACCCTAATACTCAGAGTGGTGGGTAGTGACCTACGAGTAGTTTTCTCTTGGGGTTTAGAGCTCCATTTTCAATTGTTTTTTGTCTCCTAGAAACAGGGGAATAGAGTTTGTATGTCAAGAATCCAAATGGAAATAAATGCCTTTCCCTGTCTGAATAGTTTTCTATAGAGGTAAAACCCTCAGAATTTCTGTCTTTCTCTGTTGATCCCATCTAGCAAGCTGTATACTATTTCTAAATAAATAATATTTAGAGGGGGGTTCTCTAAAGATATGAAAACAGATAATTCACAATCTATTGACTATCACTTTGAGATCCCTTGTTTGTCTTCTAATAGAATAGACGACAAGCATTATAAAGATAAGAAAGAAGTTTAAAAATGTTCCACATGCCTTCCACACAGATTGTTAATACAGAAATTCATGTGCACATGGGAGACTCTTTCAGAAGAATTGTATCTTCACAAATTATGTTCATGAGAAAGCCTTGAAAATGATGGTCACCCAACCCTCAAATTGTTAACTCTGTTACTGTAACTATTTAGTATGATATACTTTATGTTACTAAATTGCCTTATGCTGTTTAAACTTATTGAAGCTAGCTCTAGGAGTAAGGAATCCTTTCCTCATCATTGACTCTAGCATGTTTATAGAAAACATCCTCCAACTTTGCCTGTCTCTGGACACGCTGGTACCCTTGTCTTTTGACCCCAAAAAAGGAAAAGCAGAGGGAATGAGAAGATAGAACTCATTCATGAAGATGTTCAGACCAAGAATCTCAGTCAGAAACTGTTTCAGTAGGACCTCCTTAGTCATTTCTGATGAACATTATAAGCACATGAATCTCATTCATATTGACCAGTTTGTGATAATGTCTATTCTTGAGTAATATTGTGATTGTTAAGAAACAAAAGATCATAGATCAGTGCATCTCTCAACTCTCATCAGAGAAGCTTCTTTCTATAGTGGAGAAGACCCACAGCTAGTCAACTTGCATAGAATAGACTGTAAAGCACTTGATTTCAAAAGGGCAGCAACTCACAAATCGCAGGGATTATCACAGAAGAAAGATCAAAAGATCTGAGGTAGTGGATGACTGTAGGGAAACAGTATTTATGGGATATGTCAGTGCCATCACATGCATGAACTCATAGCCACTCTGACTACACGCACAAGACCTTACACAACAAGTCAACCAAACAAGCAGTATGGATGTTGGGGTGGGAGGCTCATGAAATTTTGTTATTAGCTGAGGATCTTTTGAGGTAACTGATGGCTCCTGAAGGGTAGATAGTCAGTTTTCTTCAGTAATATATCCAGAGAGACTACCCATGCCCCAGTAGATGGTCCTACATCTATTAAGTAGACTCAGTGGTTGTTTTTTTTTTTTTTTAAGAGCACATGAAGTTGGAAAGGAATATAGTGGGAAGATAGGGGCAAAACCAGAAGAAAGAGGAAGGGGCTAGATTTTATCAAAATGCATTATATGAATGCATGAAATTCTCAAACCATAAAACACATGAAAAGAAGCCAATGGTGATGGCGCCAATATTGTGAACTATAATGACATGGTTTGGACAAGCCCTGTGCTGTGTGTTGCTTTCGTGTGATTCATAAAACTCATTCAATTTTATCTTTAAAATGCTACCTTGGATTAGAGACTTGAATATAGGGTGGTATCAAGTGTATTCCAAGAAACAATAGAGAAGCAAAGGATTATTTTGGTTTAGCAGAGTATTAAGATGTTAGGGAAACTCCAGTTAACAGGAGAAGGAGGGAACAAGGGTGATTGCCATGTACTTCACTCACCTTATATCAGCAAGAGCAGTCGGTGGTGGCACATGCCTTTAATCCCAACACTTGGGAGACAAAGGCAGGTAGATCTCCGAGTTCAAGGCCAGCTTGCTCTACAGAGTGAGTGCCATGATAGCCAGAGCTACACAGAGAAAGCTTGCCTTGAAAAACAAAAACAATATCAGCAGGAGCAATCCTGAGGCTATTAGCAAATACTGATATTAGTTTGCAGCACTGTATAATAATTAATTGAATTTTCACTAAAGTCAAAGCATTATATCATCCATGTGTTTATATGGTAGAGTAAGTAAGCTATGTAATATAAACCTCTTCAGCCTGTACATACAATATGAGACACAATTCCTTCATACATGGTCAGCACTCTGTGACTATGGGTTCCCTCTCAATAGATGTACCCAACCATGGATTGAAAGTGCTGAGCTATTTCTATTTCCTGTAGCTGATCCTATGATGGCTGCTGCTTGCATCTTTGCTGAGCATGCACAGAGTGTTTAATGTCACAATTCCCTAAACTGTATTGTATTTATATTATATTGTACATGATATATGTGATATGCAGGCAATTAAAGTGCATAGGAGGATTATGTACATTATAAATGAATATTGTATCATTTGATATGTAAGGGATTGAGCTCTGGCAGATTTGGGTATCTGTGGGGGGTCTTGGAAACATTCCCTCATTGATCCCTAGGGAGGCCATACATGATTATGGCCTTATTTTTATTTATTTCTTTCAAGCCTGATTGCCAGGAACTAGATTGTCTGTGTACTCCTAGTTATTTGGGGGCTCTGGAGAACTCCCAGACAGCTCATTCTCCTATTGTGTTTTCTTGCCTTATTTCCATGTTGCTAGGCTGCTAGCTGCCTATGATACAGCCAGTGTTCACAGACTTCTGCTATGAGCCACAACAGTGCTTCACTATTAACTGTTGCTGAATTCCCAATGTGATATTAGGGACAAGATATGACAGTTGCATTTGTTATTTGTCCTAAAACATGATGCAGGCGCCTTTAATTCACATCACAAAAGAGACTAGGCTAAAACATTAGATGAGATAGGGAGGTAGTGATGTGAAAGACAATGGAAAAACTTGATCATCTTTTCAAAGTGGTCATAAATAAAGCTATTTTACTTATTTGTGTATTTATTTCTGTACCATGGATTGTATTTAGACCCTTTTGCATGCTAGACAAGCAGTGTTCCACTGAGCTACCTTCTGGAACACAGTTTTGTTTTTTTTATTCCAGTAGACAAAACGTTGATGTGTCTTGAAGAACAGTCACTAGAGTTAGGCAATGTGCTGTAAATGTTAAAGACTAACTAATCACTGTGAGCAACACATCCCAAAACCAATCCTGAATGCACTTCACATGCAATCTTGTCTCATTCTTTCCTCAAATGTGTGAGTCTTCTATAGTTCCATTGAAGTCATCCTCATAGATCACACAGCACCCAGCACACACACACAATTACTTACAGAGATACATTTTAAAAAGAAAAAATTTCTTTAAAATAGTTTATCCCCCTTTATGGTTCCGTATTGATTCTGCAGACATATTCTGTTTATCCCATAGTTTTTTTAAAATAAATATTTGGATTACTTGTAGACAATTAAACAATAGTTTATTTGCTTCATCAGCCTTCTCATTGCTCCCAAATTCACATGTACTTAATTTTTATGGCTAAAAAAACAAGCCAGATGGGGTCCCAGAATTAAGAGTAGGAAGTGGGAAGGGGCCGCCACCCCTAACCAAGAAACTATCTATTCTTGACACCTGCTTCCAAAGGAAAGGTTAACTTTTTCTATCGGAGTCTCATTGGGTATATTAACCAAACTTCAGGGCAGGCCCCATGCCCAACAGTAGATGGTCAACATAAAATAGACTCAATGGTATTTTTACAGACTTATTGTCTCATATTGTGTGTTTGGACACCGTTGTTTTGTTTTATTGGTGTTTTGCTTGTATATCATGGTTTCCAATTTTGCATCTTTAAGGGCTTCTTGGGCATGTGTGTTTCTTGCTTTTGCTTTGCTTTGTTTGTTTGCCTGTATGCTTTTGTTTTCAAAAAAAGAGAGAGAAAGAAAGATTGTGCAGTTAGGGATCTGAAGAGGATCTGGGAGGAGTTGGGGGAGAGGAAAAGAATGATCATAATATATTGTATGAAAAAATTAAAAAAGAACTATATACTTTTTGATGTAGGATGGTATGCTGCGGTTATTTCAAAAATCTAGTTATAATGCATATCTTTTGCAAATACTATAGACAACCATGGACAAATATTTCACTTAAATTCACAACTAACAATTTATGTCAAATTTATCTTTTCAAAGGTGTGACTTATTTAAAATTAGGTCTCAGCCTTTGACCTTGAAGATGCTAAGCTTTTGATAATTTAAAATATAACACTTGCTAGGTCAACAAATCTTAAATTCTAGTCTTCAGTTAAATTGCAGGGATTAAATTCACATTACTCAAATTGTTGTGACAGAGACAGGTTAGGATGTGTCATGTCATCAATACACGGTAGAAATAAGAATTATTAGAAGCACCCTCGTGTGTCTGCAATGTGGTACTAAAATGGATTGGCCCTTGAAATGAAAGGAAACTTGAAGTAACAGTGCAGAAGATTGATTTACTTGAATTTTAGCCTCAAAAATAAGATGTTCATGAGAACCAAATGATGAACTTGCATTAGGATTCTAGATGCACAAGTTGCTATCCATTTTCTATTCTAGTACTTCTGGGACTGGCAAAAATTCATTGATAAAGCACATAAAAACATCAAAAATGTCCATTCTCTGTGAAGTTCCATCAATTAAAAATTCATCCATTCATTTATTTATTCATGCATTCTGAAATTATCTTCAAAGACTATACACAGTCCAAATTAGAATTACCTACAAAGGTCATTTTCTTTTATGACTCAGTAGTCCACTTGATGTTTTGCATAAAGATGGTCAGAATTAAATGTAGTAATCCTTTAAAGCTACTGAATGACAGAAGACCAGCCTGGAAGATTGATCATATGAGATGTAATATTTAAAGTGATAAGTGAAGGATGAATAGGGGTTTCCCACCACATAACAGTGATGGGATTGAGTAGTGGTGGTGGTGATAGGGTGGGCAAAAGAGGATTTATGGCAGAAGGAAAAGACAAATTGGATACCTGAAAAAAACATGGCTTTTTCCAAAAAAGAGACTTGGTTTTGCAGTTTAACATGCAAGAGAAGTCTGTGAAATCAGTTTCATTGCTAGGACAAGAGTTTACTAAATGATCAATGGAACATCTCAATGCTGTGAAATAGTCTTTCTGTATGCTGTGAATATGTGTTGCTATCTGGT